TAACGAAGTTACTTACAGCATTGATCCGGAGTATATATTATTTACAACATGCAAAAGTATCTTACTTTCTTTTGTGTTAAAGGCATCACAAGGGATGTTTCCTGACGGGTAGGCTGACTCAGAACATCCACATGTAAACCATTGAGTTTTCCCAAGACAAGAGTTGAGACATGCCTGTTGAAGAGATCATTTTAGAAGTTAGTATACTAGTTTATTTTCAATTCGTGCTGTCCTCAGGAACATAGTGATAATATCCTCAGAGGCATGTAGCCACTGGGGGGGGGGGGATGGGGGGTCCGGACCCCCCGCCCCCCATCTTTCTTCAGGACCAATTTTGTTAATTATTTTAAAATGAGGAGAAACTGGAGGGAGGCCTTCTTAATGTGTCTCTCTCCGTATTTTTCCACCCCTACGACTGCATTTCCTGCGTTTTCTGAAACATATTTTCGAATATACCGCGTTACATTATACTGTAGATAGACTGAATCTTTATTTAAGTATTTGCATAGTATGTTTATACGACAACTCGGTCATTAACTTGTTTAAACTAGCCTTCAAACAATTCAAATTTACTGATGAGGTTTTGCGATATGCTATCCACTAGGAGATTTTAAAAACCTAACATTTTATACATAACGTACATTTTAATATGGTATTTACAACACAATGTTTAGCATTTAAAAAAAAACATTGAATCATTTGAAGATAAAAGACATGACACAAGATTCACAAAGCCAGGTTCATCATTTAATCATTGATGGTTGCGCAAAGTGTAAGCTTTGGTTTTAAGTTTGTTCAAATAATATCGTGTCCCTGATTAGTAGACCTTCGGTCGGCTAGAAGATTAGACACTTTAATAAAGCTTATGTAACATGTTGCTAACCTATATTACTGTTTCCTAACTGTTAACAAACCTGCTGGGAATAGTTTGTGATGTTGCTAAATATCCTATAGATGTTTTTTTTAGAAGGAGTTGGGTCTGTTAGACAATCTCTTCTATTAAATCCGTCCAATCTTTTGATCACTGTCTAAAGAAATATAAAGGTTAAGGTTCGAATCATTAACACAAGTATAAAGACCTCTTTCTAACGCGAACACCTCTGCAATATACAGACCATCTATCTAATTAATACGACCACCTATCTAATACGGAAACCTCTCCGATTCGGACACCTCTCTAACACGGACACCTTTCTCATACGAATTAACATCTTTCTAATACGGACATCTCTCTATAATACGGACATCTCTCTAATACGGACATATCTTTAATATGGACATCTTTCTAATAATGAACACCTCTCAAATATGGATACCTCTCTAACACAAACATCTCTCTAATATACGGACATATCTTTAATATGGACATCTCTCTGATATGAACACCTCTCTGATGCGGACGCCTCTCTAATACGGACGCCTCTCTAATACGGATATACCTCTCTAATACGGATACTTCAGTTTTTAATATAAAGGACACACTCCTCTGATATTCGGTTACCTCATGCAGAATTGAATTAATTGGGGGGGATGTGTTGAAACTTGCATAACATAACAATTTGATGTACAGTATATCCTTACCGGGCTGTCCAGGTCAATAGATTTGGACTTTTGTGCTATATGAATTTCATACATTTCATACAATAACATGTCATGCATGGTTACATTTCTTCTTATTTATTTTCAAATCCGCCAAAAGTTCGAGTTTTCACGGTGGACGTCTTTTTTTCCTTAAATAATTGTCTCTCACTTTGTGAAAGTTCATAAAGCACATTTTAACCTTGTACCGTGTGAATTCATATTTCATTTTGAACCTTCCATTTTTGTTGCCGAAAATACCCCTTTTGCACACTAATTTTTAGAAAAATTTTAGTGTTGTAGAAATCAGAAGATCATAGCTTTAACAACCAATACTCAAATGAATTTTCACAACAGTTTCTGATATTTCGATCAAGTGCATGCACATTTGAAACTTGTCTAGTTTTTTTAGACATGTACCCTGTATCGCAATTTGGGTTAATAATTGACTTACTTTTCTTAGTCCGACAGATGTAGCCATGCCAGGGGCGACACTAAACCCGTCTTCGTAAGGAAAGGGCATGACTCCTTGTTCATGCAATGTCACACGAACACCTGCTCCCTGTGTCAGAGCCCCGATATACAGAGATTGTTCGATATCTAATTGCAAGGTTAAGCCTGGAAATAAAACAAAACAATTATCGGATGTTGTTGAATCAAGTCTGGTTTCACTAAAGAAAATAATATCTAATAATCTCACTGATTGACATAGTGAAGTTTCTTAATTTCCATTTGTGAAAATTATCTTTATTCTCTAATTATATCGAAACCCATTATAGCATTTGATATACATGTATGGAATTATTATAACGATGAACCTTATACCAAAATCGCAATCAAGAATCACATCAAGACATTCGTTTTAAATTAACCCGTATATAGTGTGTTTTAACGTGTGTACTTAAATGTACCCATGAAAAAAAACTTCTAAATTTCAAACACCACGTACTTTTAGGTAACGTAAAACGTAATATCAATAAAGGCTGATTTCCACTGTTGCGTTTTTCGTACGTACACGCACGTAAAACTTGGAATCCTTCTATTTTTTAAATATTTTACAAATAAGTTAACAAATGCATACTAAAACTTAAATTCTGTTGCTTTATTTTAAAATTTGGTTATTTCATAAGTAACATTTAAACGGATTTAAAGTTTTACGTGCGTATACGTACGTATGAAAAACGCAACAGTGGAAATCAGCCTTAAGGTCACATCAATAAAACCACCGACACAGTATAGTGATTTCTTTTGTCAAGTTTCCTCATAAATTATTAATGAGTTTTTTAAGAAACAATACAAACTGGTCTCTTTTAAATTTGTAATAAATTAAGTCTTCAGCGTGGCGTGGGGACGAATCTGAGAAAAGGATTAATTTTCTTTTTATCATTGGGATTACCGTAGAAATGTTTAAATGAAGTTATATTGACCAGTTAAGAAAATGACGTGTTTGGAAAGTTGTAAAACTGAGTATGACGATTTCTAGTTTGATCGATAAACATTACACAAGTGGTAAGTTACTTAGATATAAACAGTACGAGATGAGCGATTCTTGACGTCGGTTTTGCGAAATTGTATACTCGCATGACGGCGGCAAAATTTGGGTCATCATCTACCTATACTATCCAGGCTCGTGGTTGGTTGATTATAACAATGAAAGACAATAAAACTATAGAAATCGTCTTTCTAAAGATTAACTAGTCATGAGTGTATATCCACACCGGGCAAGCTTGAAAAATATGCCTGGCCACGGTGGGAATCGAACCTACGACCTTTCCTGATTTGTTTCTGAAAGCCAATCACAAAACATGCATGATCATTTTAGGTAGATCTTTACCCTAAAATTTTGGAAAAAATATATATGGAGCTCATTGCTTCATTTATAGACAGTTGACCAACTCTCTCATCCTACTTTTGAGATCAACTGTGTGTATTTAAACTCATTGGTGTTTTCGACCAACATGCACTGCCATGTACAAATATGAGAAATATCTGAGTATTTGTTGTGTGATTAATTTAATCAATTAACAACTACCGTGAGATGGCCCAGGCTTTGAAGCTTTTAGAATTCGCATTGGATTCTTGTCCTTATCAACGCCATTGTTAAAAGTGTAACAATTTCCATACTTGTAGTTCCAGCTTTGAGTCCAGTGTTTACTGATCTTTCTGCAAAAGACGGTTAACGTGAAACTTAAGCCAGTAACTTTATTTGTGTGCCTTTATCTTTAATCTTTAATCTTTAATCTGATACTGCTATAAATCAGCTTACACTATACTAGGAGATAAAAAATTATAGTATCTATAGTTGTTTAGCGAGTTACAAATCAAAGTAACCAAGTAATTGGGACACATGAAATAAATTACAGTAATTACTCTAAAATTACACTTCCTAAAAGTCTATTTCGCAGCCCATGCAGTGTTTCTAAATCCGGCCATTTTTGGCCAAATCCCAATTTCAATAGACCTTATGCATAATGACGTCACAAGGCTTGATGCCCGCGAGGAATGCTGGTCTTAGTAGTCATCGCCCGGGAAAATTAAACAATTCAAAATGGCCACTATCGAAATTTTCCCGAGCGATGACTACTAAGACCAGCATTCCTCGCGGGCATCAAGCCCTGTGACGTCATTATGCATAAGGTCTATTGTAAACTTAAAAGAATATCCTGATGAGGTATTTCACCTATGTGTCAGTGACTGACCAAATATTCTGCTTTACGAAATAAGAGGTTGAAAGTCTGTATTCATATGCCTGTCATTTTCTGTCACACATTATAAGCCTGGTTTCCATATGGTCCTAATGGTCGTAAAATAGAGTCACGATCTTTCTCAACGGCCAGTTTATAATATTCCAAAGTTAGTTAATAGTATTGCAAAGGTTGTAGACTCGATTCCCACCAAGCCTGCCCGGTGTGGATATACACCCAGAGTAACATCACAAGCATCTTATTCACCTGAGTACATTACACCAACAGAAGAAAATATCAGTTTATAATAGTTTATACTTGCATACCACATCCATAAGTATTCTCCAGCTAGTTATAATCACTCCGCGTATTTTCAGTTCTAAAATGTTGTATTTCGGTTGATGAGAAAGATCTATATAGATCGTGACTCAATTTTTACGACCGTTACGACCATATGAAAACCAGGCTTTTACTGACTCGCACCAGCAGAACAGGCAGCAGAAAAATGACCTCGAGCCGCGGGCGAGGGCAGAATGCAGTCTTCCATGAACTAATTTAAACTCTGAAATGTCCAACTGTCTTTATAATGGTGATATATGGGTTTTGCCATTGCAATGCATTTTTATGTCTGTCATTCCCACTCCCAGTAATCCAGTAAAATAGCAACCCCATAGTTCCCAATTGTAGAACGTTTGTTAAAATATGAATTAAAATCAATAAATACTGCGATCTTTGTGTTTTATAGAGCTTTTCTTACCCATTTTTGCAGTTCAAGCCTTTCCAACTACAACTCTTAATTAGGTCCTCCATTGAATGGCCGTTATCATACAGCTGTCTGACATCTACACTTCCGATAAGCAGATCAACTGCTTGTCTTAACTTTGTGCTTTCACCTACATCGCTTTTATCCGGGTATTCTTCAGAAATTTCGGCATAGTCGTCATTATTTTCCAGGTTTTCCTTAGTTTGTTCGTCGGCCGCATACTCAGAGTAGTCGAATCCATAACCTTCCGTTTTGTCTTTATTGTCTAAAAATTAAACAAGCTTTTGTTCAAATGTTGTTTTTAAAACAGTTTAACACTGTATACCTATATATGCATGTGTTCTGGTATAATTTTCCTGGTACAATTTCCTGAGGGTTTTTATCTTTAATTTGTCAGTGACCAGATCCGAGGCGCGTTTTGAAATATCCGCAAAAACCTATTCAATAGCCCAAATTCTCTTTAAAATCTTCTATAGAAACTGGCCAACCTATAAAAACGTCTCAATAAAGTCCGCTTAAAATCTCGCAAAGAAAAGGATATTTTTGCAGAGATTTTGAAATCCTAAAAATCCTCGTACGCATTTCTCAGAATAATACCCCCCTCGATCAGATGTAACTTCGCGACTCGCTGCCATAACGCCATTTAGCATAGAGCACTGTAAATGTAATTGAAAGATTGTAGGTTTGACTGTTTGAATCATGCCATCGATTGATTGATTGATTGATTGAATGCATCATTAACTATTGATTTCATGATTGATTGCTTTTATGATTGATCGATTAACTGATTGAATAACAATTGACTAATAGTTTAGATGTATAATTAATTACGTAATTGATTGACTGATTAGCTGATTGATTACATAATTGTCTTATAACTTACCACGAGTTATGTTGATTTCTGTATATTTAACCTTCTGAGATGTCTCATTTGAAGTAAAAACATCGCTCAACTCGTTCGGTAATCTATTATTCTTGATCATGTTCAAGTTACAAATAGTAACAGCTGGAAATTTCAGTTGCTAAAAATAACGAAAAACGTATAATTAACAATTATAGAGTGATTCTGGTGAAGAATGATATCGAGAATTATCAGAGACCTTGTTTGCGATTTCTGCAGAAGCTTTATGAAGCGAATAACCCAAAGCAAGTGCTTGATAATTCTATATACTAAAACCATGCAGTATCCCCTCGCCTTTTAAAACTGAACCGCCGACATTTTTCGCACATGAAGTATTCTCAATTGGCCAACTGGTAACAACATTAGTCATGGGTACACGGGTAAAAATTGATCAGGTTGTTCGGCGTTGTTCAAACAGGAGTGAACAATGTTGTGCTGCACCCCGTGAACAATATTGTTAACAAGTTGTTCAACCATCAGTACTGTTGCAAGTTGTTAACATGATTGTCAACAAGTTGCAACAACGTTGATGGTTCAACAACTTGTTAACAATATTGTTCACGGGGTGCAGCACAACATTGTTCGCTCCTGTTTTGAACAACTTGCATCAACATGATGATTTTTACGCGTGTAGAAGCTCCCCTCAACGAATGTGCTGTAAAAATAGAAGTATCTATACCTGCTAATTGTAGAATATTCTTAATCCACCTAGCTAATGTAGAAGAGGTCACTGGATTATGAGGACGAATGTATGAAAGAAACAATTTGTTGGGCACAGAAATATCACTAGGCCTAAATTCCCTAGTTTTAACCTCATAACACTTAAGACACTCCACGGGACATAAATCAAAGTCATCCGGAAATGCAGAATGAAAACTAACTTTAGGAGTATCTCCTGGTCTTGATGTCTTAGACAGACCAGGGAGAATAAAAGATACTCCTTCTGGTCGAAAGGTACGATACCTCAAATCTCTTTTTGCCAAA